GTGCACAGGATGACCTTATGGTCGTACTCATGCTTGACGTTAGCGTTCTGTCTTGTCGTGTTCGCTCTGTTCAGTGTGTTGTGTATTGTGTAGCACATGTTTTGTGTTTACATCGGCCGCGTGCTTTCATGTCATGTTTTGTCTTGTGCTGTGTAGCTTGTGTTTTAAACTAGCTGTGTGCTTTCATGTTGTCATGTTCTGTGTGAACACGTGTCTTATGAGTGTTCTCATCGTTCTTCAGGTCTCATTTTGTGTGAGCACAATTGCTTTTTAATTTATTTTATTGGTCATGTGTTTTTGTCATGTTTGGTATGAGCACATGGCTTGTGCTTGTCATGTGTTTTTCCTTGTGCCATATGTGCTTTCCTGTCATTGTGTTGACTCCCATCTTGTTTCCTGATTATTAGTTACCTGTCCTCTCTCGTTACCTGCCTTTTTTGCTCCCAATTTATTCCCATTGTTTTTTTTGTTTTTTTTTTATCAATAAAATAAAGCCCATCAACTCGAGTCCTCGCTCTTTTCACCATCCCCACACCTGACAGTCGGGTTTAAAAAAAAGAAGAAGAAAAAAGAGCTTCCCCTCTTTGAAAGACCAGCAGCCGCCACTGCCGCTCACGTGGTGTTTGCATGGTTATACCACAGCTGAAGTGAAATAAATGCAACATTTGCCAAATAAACAGATATTTCAGACACATTTTGATTCAATACTTTACTGCTTCATACAGCATCTGTTTGAACTAGAATAAATTTCAAAATAAGCCTATAATCAATGACGTGGAATCAACGTTTTTAATCAGTTTTATTTTGATGACACAATATAACATTGCAACTACATGAAAAGACTGTTTACTGTTATAAAAAAACTGATTTGTGAGCTTTAGTGGAACTAAAGGTGTGAGAATAAACACGAAACGCACGTGATCGTTGTCACGCGTTGAATCCGACGAAACGCTCTCGCGGTACTTTGATGGCATATGTCACAGTCACGTGGAGTCAGCGCTGCATCAAGTCGGACAAAATTTCTAACCGGCATGCACTGCTTCAAGTCAGCTACCGATCGGTCTGCACAGAGCTGCATGAAGTCGAACAAGCCTTTAGTCTTCACGTGCCTTTACAGGGTTTCAGACACCTTACACGATTTCCACCAATCAGATGCATCACTGTGGGATTGTTCAGTATTGTGGGTAATAAAGTACTTATCCAATACATCACGAATAAAATGGATTTATCTTAAAGGAGAACTCCGGCAAACAATGAACCTTTGGTCTAATAAAACATTGGTACCTAGTCAATCGTTCTCTGAGATTTTTTTTCATGATAATCGAATGTAAAGAGTTTTATCTCTAAAAACTGTTTAGCGTATAATGCTAGTAATTGGGGCATTGACTATGTAAAAAGAAATCGCTAGTTTATACCACTAACAAGGCTCAAAATAGCCCCACACTAACACAGTGACATAATGAGGCCCCATACATGCAAAACGAAGCATTGAGAACTTTGTAAGTGTACAGAGCGTTTAATAAGAAGACACTTTATGAAGACAGTTCACTTCGCGTATACAGACAGGAGCCATCTTAGGAAATAGTCTCGATAAGTCAAACCAAGAACGTCGTGCTGAGTGAGCTGAACTGTATGAAGTTCAATGAACTTCTGAACTTTTGCATGAATGGAGCCTTATTATGTTACTGTGTTAGTGTGGGGCTATTTTGAGCCTTGTTAGTGGTATAAACTAGCAATTTCTTTTTACTTAGTCAATGCCCCCATTGCTTAGCCTGGTTCTACCAGACTCTCGTACATACATTTCATTTGTACAGAGAGTCTGGCCTCCCTCAATTGAGAAACGTTTCCTTCCTTGTAGGCGGGTTCACTATTAAAGTTCAATTCTATTGGATCTGCCCAGAGTCACTCACGATCTGCCATAGCCAATCGCTAATGTGTGGTCGTGAGTGACGTATGTCATGCGCCGAAACGGCTGGAAACAACCATAGACAGTAAAAGAAACAACAAGTCCGAACTCCGAATGATCAGAGGATTAAATTTACAATAGGATTTCAGTCAACGAGAGCTGCAGGTTTTGTTAATCTAGGAACAATTATTAATTCGAAATGTATATTTGACATGAAGGACAGTGATTATTCAGTCAATGCTGTAAGTTACACCCACGTAGGAGGGGACGTTCTCGCGACCTTATGCAACGTTCCCTAAAAGTTCTCTAAAGGTAACGAAAGTTCCGAACCTTTATAGAACATTGAGGACGTTCATAGAACGTCCTCTTTTGGTTATGAAAGTGCTGCAGTTCAAGGTTCCTTATATGACCTTAGGGGGACGTTCTATTTGGGGTATTTTAAGGTCACATAACAAACGTTACAAAGAGGACATTCGGGACGTTAACAGAACGTTCCCATACAGTCCCCTGTTGGTCATATAATAACGTTCCCAATGTGACTTCAGGAGGACGTTCCATACTGGTTATTCTATGGTCACACAACAACGTTACAAAGAGGACATTCGGGATAACACAGTCTCATCCCAAATCGTCATATAACTGACGTTTTGGGACGTATTTTGACCATACGTCAATATCCGCCTTTTTAGGGCCCCCTTAAACGTCGGTAGATGGCGATCCCGGGCCGTCATACAACTGACGCTTTACCTTTAACGTCAGTTAGGTGACGGGTTAGGTTTAGGGTTAAGTTTAGGTATGGGGTAGAGTTAGGATCCCATAACCTCATCTACCGACGTTTAAGGGGGCCCTAAAAAGGCGAATATTGACGTATGGTCAAAAGACGTCCCAAAACGTCAGTTATATGACGATTTGGGATGAGACCGGGTTGTTCGGGACGTCAACAGAACGTTCCCATACGGTTCTCTGTTGGTCATATAATAACGTTCCCAATGTGACTTCAGGGGTACGTTCGATATTGGTTATTCTATGGTCACACAACAACGTTACAAAGGACATTCGGGACGTCAACAGAACGTTCCCATACGGTTCTCTGATTGTCATATAAACGTCCCCGTTATTACTTTAACAACGTTACAAAGAGGACATGGCAGATCTGCTTATTTTTTCAAAATAAACTACCACAAAAAGGGATCAAATCTGCTATGAAGATTGAAAATTGTTGTATTGTACTGTATATTCTATAGATGACATTTAATTGAAAAATAAGCACGTTATTGTATAAATAAACAACTTTTGTTCTGTTTGATGTGTTTTGAAAAGTAACACATCCAACAGAACGAAGTTCTATTTATTTTACAATAGCAAAATGGTATAAAAAAACATAATTGTCAAGTGAATGGGTCATATAACTACACAATGCGTTTTAATTTCATTATTTAAAATTAATGATATTTCAAATTGTTAAATGTTATAATGTTTATTTAAATGCTGCGTGCCTTTTGACGTGTTCTATGGTTTCAATGGGCGTACGTGCGCGTAAACATTGAGTCGCAATTCAAAGACAGGAGCGCGCGTGAGCAGATGGAAACCATGGAAACGAGGAAACCTCATCAACTGTCAAACAGCAAAACTAGCGTCTCTCACTGTTGTTTTCTCTGCTTTCAGGTAAGTTTAGTTACCAAAATCACACAAATAATACATACAAACCTTCCTGATATATGTCTTACGTGTAATTGATACACTTCTGTTGAATATTTACTTTATAGAAATGGTTTTGTGTCTTCGAAAAAGTCCGTTAGCATCTCCGTTTTCAGAAGAGCTAACTTTAGCAGCTATAAGTTTACGTTACAATTGAGCTCTTGTTTTACATAAGTTTGGGTTTTTAACCACATTTGTGTGTTGATAACAGTTTTTAAAAGTTTTGTTTTGCTGGTAATTTGTCAGTGGTGGTGGGAAGTTAACCTGAAATAATTCAATGTAACGTACTGTTAATGACGTCACTTAAGATTGATAATAAGTGATTTCAGGAGGAACAGAAAAAAACCTTCACAACAAAGGGGGAATTATTGTTTAATCATGATAATAATTTCATATGCGTTTTTTGCACAATATATTACCTTAAGATTTTTTATATATATTCTTTATCTTTTCTGCATTTTATCTCTGCTCTAGCTTGCTTCCTTGTAATAAACCCTTTGTTCTTTTGTAAATTCTATGTGCTAACATTGTTGGCTCTGTGACACATTGCATGTTATTTTCTAGAAGATCATCATGCTGGTTGGCCTGCTGCACCCCCTGTCCAAGAAAATCTCATTCTCCACGGCTATGAACTCGACTAGTAAGCAAAACTTCAAACATAAGTTACTGTTCAATTGTTGTGGGTCTGCACTCTGTAGGATTTATACTTTTGAATGAAGTCACACACTTTAAAATCATTAACCCCATTTTTTTTAAGGGAGATTTTACTTGAGAAGCCAGTAAGCTAAATAATAGGCGGCAAATATAATGTTATAAAAATGGTCATAGTTATAATAATTCATTTAACTATTATTATAACAGGATAATGGTCATTGGTATATATATATATATATATATATATATATTTTTTTTTTTTCTCTTGGTGTGTTTTTAATTATGTTAGCCAATGAGACAGACACCATACTGTCCAACTCAAAGGTATTTTTTATGTAGTTTTTTTTTCTGATAAATACTGAAATTCTTTTTACTTTCAAAAGCTGAATTCAGGAAGTCGACAACTTTAGGCACGCAAGTTATTTTTCACAGATATCTGTCCAGTTTACTCATGGCTCATACTCTTAGCCTTTAAAATGTTTGAATGTATATCTGCAATACATTATCAGGGGGTAAAGATATTATTAGAGTTTTTAAAGTTATGGCTATGCTCTTGTTACCAGATGAGATGTCAATCATTTGACCCTGTGGTTCTTCAGGACAAGATCTTGATGCCATCCACTGAACATGACATCGTACATGACGAAGGTGAGTTTCACAATAGCTGCCACTATCACAAACCAAGAGACCGAACACAACAGGCCTTCATCCATATGAACTCACCCATGCAGGAATAGGTTCCGAAACCCGGTATTAAACATTAAACGGGGGCCAAATTAAGGAAGACCGCAGTATCGATAAGCTCAGATGTTTTCGGTTCTGCTGACGGTACTGAAGAAACTACACACACTATTAGACATTGTCTTGCAAATTCTGTGAGGATTAGGAGGGGTGTTTTAAACAGTCTTCATACAACATGTGTTTTCCAGGCTGGTTGTTTGTCATTTTGTAAGACTAGGGAGAGGCTGTACCTCAGTAAAGACTTATTTTACATTCGATAATTCAATTTCCGTACCTGATAAGTTAGATTTTCCTAAAAAAAACATCATGCACTGCTTATTTCAATTGTATTTTTCTTCTTTTGAATTTATCTATGCTTGTAATTTGTTTATAATTTTCAATGCAGATTCACTCTAAATAAATAATCTCTTGAAATTTGTTTTTATATCGCAATATATATAGCAGCAGATAAACAAAATAGATAAACAAAATATTTTATTTAAGGTTTTCAATATTGTCCTGCCGTAATATTTAGCATTTAACCTAACTCTAATTTTTTATTGAACGTGGAATGATAATTTGTGATACCAGATGAGATGTATGCATGATAGATTTTGAACTGTACTATTTTTTTTTATTGCAGGTTTTCTGGAATCCACAGCGGAAGGGATCAAGGCATGAGATGTTGGCTTGGACAGATGTACCTGTACACCACACCGACCTCTGCTTTTGGATGGATGGCTGATTACTATCATGTTCTGTATAAGTTTTATAATAGCAAAACTGAGCACCTTCGACAGTGGTAGATGTAAAGTAGTCAGACATCAGTACATTTAAAGTCACAGAGAGAAAGTTTTTTATATAAGTATAAAACAATTTTTTGGCACCATTATACACCAAGAAATGTGCATAATTGGCCAAATTGATAATGTTTATCAACAAAAATATGACCCTATGAGTTTGCTAATTTGTAGAATAGGACACACACACACACACACACACACACTCTCTCTCTCTCTCTCTCACACACACACACACACCACACACACACACTGTATATATTTAATAGTTATTTAATTAAATATATTTCAGTTTTTTCTTTTTACTTCATAATTTACATAACATTAAATTAACATAAATCTTTGTCTTGTCCTAATATTATTTACTGTTGATTTATTACGCCTATGCATGATCACATTATTATTAATTCATAATCTGTTTTTTGATTACACAAAATAAATAAATAAATAACGAATCTCTGCTTTGTATTGTATCTTTGAATGTGTTAAAACGTTAAATGCATGCTTATTCCTGATTAAGGTTCTTCAAGAACAAATTTGAAAAAGTTTCTGCATTCTAGTTTGTTTACCTACAGGTCTTTGACAACACTGGAGACGGGCTTAGAACGTTCTGGGAACGTCACATATCCAAATAAAACATTGGTCCCCTAAACGTTCTGAGAACGTCCCGAATGTTCTGTGAAGGTCGCAAAATAACGTCCTCTGACCCTTTAAAGAACTCCACATCATGACCGTCTCCGAACGTTCCCGCAACGTTACTAGGCAACGTGTTTGACACCAGTGGGGACGTTCTGAGAACGTCCCGAATGTTCCGTGAAGGTCGCAAAATAACGTCCTCCGAACCTTTAAAGAACTCCACATCATGACCGTCTCGGAACGTTCCCGAAACGTTACTGGGCAACGTGTTTGACACCAGTGGGGACGTTCTGAGAACGTTCTGGGAACATCACATTTCCAAATAAAACATGGTCCCCTAAACGTTCTGAGAACGTCCCGAATGTTCCGTGAAGGTCGCAAAATAACGTCCTCCGAACCTTTAAAGAACTCCACATCATGACCGTCTCCGAACGTTCCCGGAACGTTACTAGGCGACGTCCTTGACACCAGTGGGGACGTTCTGAGAACGTCCTGGGAACGTGACATTCTTAGCTGGGCAGTGAATGAACGAGGCTGACTCCAGCTCCTTTTTCGCCAGCTCCTTATTCGCCGAACTATTCGTTCCACCTTAAAAATGTTGGATGGTTGTTAACCCCTCCCCCTCGGTTCTTTTGCCCGTATTTCTTAAAGGAACAGTTGTATGGGGATTATGAGCCTGTTGATCGGGCAGCATTTGTCATTTAACAGTGCATGTATATGTATACTCTTGTAAAAATATATTTTATGCCTCTGTAAATGGTGTAAACTACGTGGTAAATTCAACCAGAGGACTTATTTTGTATTTAAGTTCCATCTCTTACTAAATGTATTTTAAAAGAAAGGAGAAAAGTGACATTATGTTTCTAACTGAAAATTAATGTTATGTAATTTATATTCTTTATTAGAATTTATTATATATTTATTAGACTGGAGTAATGGATAACTTCTAATATAGAATATAAATTACATAACATTAATTCTCAGTTGCAAACATAATGAAAAAATGAAAAAAACAGGAATGTGCAGGTGTAGATAATTCATTATTAAATCGAATCTTGCATTACAACATTTTCTGATGTGTTATTGTTTAATTATGGTACCCAGAAAAGTTCTCAAAAAAAGGGGAACATAGAGGTATAGATAAATTCATTATTAAACGAAATCATGCATTACAAAATTTTCTGATGTGTTATTGTTGAAATATGGTACCCAGAACATGCCCCACCATTGCAACTTTACATATGCTGACAGAGCATACTGGAGGTGTCATTTCTTTATTTTTTTCAAAAGTTCTCAAAAAAAGGCGAACATAGAGGTATAGATAAATCCATCCTTAAACGAAATCCTGCATTATCACATTTTCTGATGTGTTATTGTTAAAATATGACACCCAGAAAATGACTCTCCATTGAAACTATATGTGCCGACAGAGCATACTAGAGGTGTCATTTCTTTATTTTTTCAAAAGTTCTCAAAAAAAGGGGAACGTAGAGATATAGATAAATCCATTCTTAAACCAAATCCTGCATTTCAACATTTTATGATGTGTTATTGTTGAAATATGACACCCAGAAAATGACTCGCCATTGAAACTATATGTGCCAACAGAGAATACTGGTGTCATTTCTTTATTTTTTCAAAAGTTCTCAAAAAAAGGGGAACGTGGAGGTATAGATTAATCCATTCTTAAACCAAATCCTGCATTTCAACATTTTCTGATGTGTTATTGTTGAAATATGAAACCCAGAACATGCCCCACCATTGAAACTATATGTGCCGACAGAGCATACTGGAGGTGTCATTTCTTTATTTTTTCAAAAGTTCTCAAAAAAAGGGGAACGTAGAGATATAGATAAATCCATTCTTAAACCAAATCATACATTATCACATTTTCTGATGTGTTATTGTTAAAATATGACACCCAGAAAATGACTCTCCATTGAAACTATATGTGCCCGCAGAGCATACTGGAGGTGTCATTTCTTTATTTTTTCAAAAGTTCTCAAAAAAAGGGGAACGTGGAGGTATAGATAAATCCATTCTTAAACCAAATCCTGCATTTCAACATTTTCTGATGTGTTATTGTTGACATTTGACACCCAGAACATGCCCCACCATTGAAACTATATGTGCCCGCAGAGCATACTGGAGGTGTCATTTCTTTATTTTTTCAAAAGTTCTCAAAAAAAGGGGAACGTGGAGGTATAGATAAATCCATTCTTAAACCAAATCATACATTATCACATTTTCTGATGTGTTATTGTTAAAATATGACACCCAGAAAATGACTCTCCATTGAAACTATATGTGCCCGCAGAGCATACTGGAGGTGTCATTTCTTTATTTTTTCAAAAGTTCTCAAAAAAGGGGAACGTGGAGGTATAGATAAATCCATTCTTAAACCAAATCCTGCATTTCAACATTTTCTGATGTGTTATTGTTGACATTTGACACCCAGAACATGGCCCACCATTGAAACTATGTTTGCAGACAGAGCATACTGGAGGTGTCATTTCTTTATTTTTTCAAAAGTTCTCAAAAAAAGGGGAACGTGGAGGTATAGATTAATCCATTCTTAAACCAAATACTGCATTTCAACATTTTCTGATGTCTTATTGTTGAAATATGACACCCAGAACATGCCCCACCATTGAAACTATATGTGCCGAGCATACTGGAGGTGTCATTTCTTAATTTTTTCAAAAGTTCTCAAAAAAAGGGGAACAAATAGGTATAGATAAATCCATTCTTAAACCAAATCCTGCATTTCAACATTTTCTTATGTGTTATTGTTGAAATATGACACCCAGAACATGCCCCACCATTGAAACTAAATGTGCCCTCAGAGCATACTGGTGTCATTTCTTTATTTTTTCAAAAGTTCTCAAAAAAAACGAGAATGTAGATGTATAGATAAATTCATTCTTAAACGAAATCCTGCTTTACAACATTTTCTGATGTGTTATTTTTGAAATATGGTACCCAGAACATCCAACTTTATGTGCCGACAAGCATACTCATACTTTATTATTTCATAAGTTCTCCAAAAAACAAAAAACTTAAAAAAAAACTAAACAAAAAAAAACGAGCACATATAGGTGCCGATATTACTTTTTTTTTTTTTTTGAAGAACTTGTGAAATGATAAAGTCATATTTCACATACAGTTGCATGTTCTGGGTACCATATTTCAACAATGACACATCAGAAAATGTTGTCATTCATAAAATTCGTTCAATAATGGATTTATCTATGTTCCCCTTTTTTTGAGAACTTTTGAAAAAATAAATAAATGACACCTCCAGTATGCTCTGTTAGCACATATTTCAATTGCAAGTCATTTTCTGGGTGTCATATTTCAACAATAACACATCAGAAAATGTTGAAATGCAGGATTTGGTTTAAGAATGGATTGATCTATACCTCTACGTTCCCCTTTTTTTGAGAACTTTTGAAAAAATTAAGAAATGACACCTCCAATATGGTCTGTTGGCACATATAGTTGCAATGGTGGGCCACGTTCTGGGTGTCATATTTCAACAATAACACATCAGAAAATGTTGTAATGCAGGATTTGGTTTAAGAATGGATTGATCTATACCCCTACGTTCCCCTTTTTTTGAGAAATTTGGAAAAAATAAAGAAATAACACCTCCAATATGGTCTGTTGGCACATATAGTTGCAATGGTGGGCCATGTTCTGGGTGTCATATTTCAACAATAACACATCAGAAAATGTTGTAATGCAGGATTTGGTTTAAGAATGGATTGATCTATACCCCTACGTTCCCCTTTTTTTGAGAACTTTGGAAAAAATAAAGAAATAACACCTCCAATATGGTCTGTTGGCACATATAGTTGCGATGGTGGGCCATGTTCTGGGTGTCGTATTTCAACAATAACACATCAGAAAATGTTGTAATGCAGGATTTGGTTTAAGAATGGATTGATCTATACCCCTACGTTCCCCTTTTTTTGAGAACTTTTGAAAAAATTAAGAAATGACGCCTTCAATATGGTCTGTTGGCACATATAGTTGCAATGGTGGGCCATGTTCTGGGTGTCATATTTCAACAATAACACATCAGAAAATGTTGTAATGCAGGATTTGGTTTAAGAATGGATTGATCTATACCCCTACGTTCCCCTTTTTTTGAGAACTTTGGAAAAAATAAAGAAATAACACCTCCAATATGGTCTGTTGGCACATATAGTTGCGATGGTGGGCCATGTTCTGGGTGTCGTATTTCAACAATAACACATCAGAAAATGTTGTAATGCAGGATTTGGTTTAAGAATGGATTGATCTATACCCCTACGTTCCCCTTTTTTTGAGAACTTTTGAAAAAATTAAGAAATGACGCCTCCAATATGGTCTGTTGGCACATATAGTTGCAATGGTGGGCCATGTTCTGGGTGTCATATTTCAACAATAACACATCAGAAAATGTTGTAATGCAGGATTTGGTTTAAGAATGGATTGATCTATACCCCTACGTTCCCCTTTTTTTGAGAACTTTGGAAAAAATAAAGAAATAACACCTCCAATATGGTCTGTTGGCACATATAGTTGCGATG